ATTCAACAGAAACATCAAACTAGCACAAAAATATTTCATATAAATAAAACTCACTAGATTGGGGTAAAAGTGTGAACTCTAATACATTATGTATGTGGGATAAATCATGACTGTGTCCCTTCCCCAAATGATGAACTGCTCCCCTCAGGCTGGGCAAGCTGGAGTACATATGCTGAGGAAGCAACCTCAGCTCGGGACTGCTGCAGTTCCTCTGCTCACATTCAGTCCACTCAAACCTGATCGTGCAGGTTTTGCGTATTTTGGTCAAAACTGTGCTTACTGTTAACAAAAGATTGCACAACCCAGACCAGTTATGTTTACTAAGAACTGTTTTTGAACACTACAAATTGCATAATTGAAGCGTGCATGCACACTTATCTGAATAACGGAGATGATACATCAATTCAAGACAAACAAACGGGGACTGAAAAATGACTAAACAGGCCACAACTGGTGGGAGTCAGGCTCATACACTGAGCAGATCTCATCCAAGTGCTAATGCATGGTGTCATCCAACTGTCTTTGCTCCACAAAAGTACCAACATGTAGCATTAAACTTAGCAGTGCTACCATACAGGTGTGCTTTCATCATAACCTGAAAATAATTGGATCCACTTGGAAATCCTTTGTGGTTAAGGCGAGATTAGATGGGAAATAGAGGCACAACATAAATGTGACAAACTGTTAGCTGCACTTCCTGACTACTAGCATAATCTCACCAAGACTTTGTACTGGGGAGCAGGTTTAAGACCAGGTAATGTCTGATCCAGTGGCACCTTGCATTCGTTTCTCACGAGCACCTCTGTTGGGCAACTCTTAGACGAGGCGAGAGCTGCAGCGCATGTGGGACAGCTTTAGAAGGATAAAGCCATTGTCACACATATTACGGTATTTACCTGACAGATAAAGCAAACTCTGCTGCTGAATCGCCACTAAGTGGTAACCAGTCAGTATGATGTCCAGAAGTGCGCATTTTAGAATACCACAGGTAAATTTGGAGCAAGCAAGTTTTCAAATAGTCCAGATATATCAAAGCAGAAAAACATCTACTGAGTTCAATGCACTGTAATGATACTTCCTCAGCACTTCTCATAAACAGCTCAGACATTGGGCCTGAGGGGGGAAGGGAAAGCATACGCACACAGGACTGTTAATTCCTGGAACTCCTCTCTAGTCACTAATAAAGATAAACCCTCGATAATAGAGAAATGGGTTCATTTGACAAACCAAGAAATGTTTTTGTCACCTTATCATATCGTGTTTTCCTCACAGAGCAAGTGTTCCTTCTTTCACACATCTGATAACCTTTGAACCAACAATAAAAGCTCTTGTGTCGCACACTTCTTCACCGACTTGCCAGAGTGGTGTTTATTTGCTGTGTGGCTTCATGTTTTGTGTTGAGCATGTGAAC